AAAAAAAAAAAAAAAAAAGAAAGAGGAGCTGAACAAAGAAGTGGCCTCTAACAGCCAGCTGATGCAGAACAGCCGCAATGAGTTGAATGAGCTCCGAAGGGTGCTCCAGGGCCTGGAAGTCAAACTGCAGTCCCAGCTCTGCAGGGTAAGAAGGATCAGGCCCAGCCGCAGCCTCCAAGTCGCCAGTAATGGCACCACCCCCTGTAATGGAACATCGCCGCAGTACGGTTCCATCTCTCTTTTCCTAGGAGTGGGTTGGAGGGATCACTGTACCCATTAAATAGATGGAGAAATTAAGGCCCAGAACAAGTGGTGGAATAACTTTTCTCCATGTTGTCTAGCCCATAAGTAGCCCAGCTGGGGTCAAAAATCCATGCACCTCTCAGGAAACATGCCCAGAGACCTGGGGGGACAGCAGTGACCCCCCTCCGTTGACTCTCTCTCTCGCTCTCTCCCATTCACAGAAAGCATACCTGGAGAAGAGCCTGGAGGAAACCAAAAACCGCTACTGCCTGCAGCTGTCCCAGATCCAGGGGCTCATCTGCAGCGTGGAGGAGCAGCTGGCCCAGCTGCGCTGCGAGATGGAACAGCAGAAGCACGAGTACCAGATCCTTCTGGACGTGAAGACGTGGCTGGAGCAGGAGATCGCCACCTACCGCCCCCTGCTGGAGGGCGAGTACACCCAGTGAGTGGGGAACCCCCCTGTCCTGCCCCACAGAGCCTTCAGCCCCACCCCTGCTGCTCCCAACACACCTAACGGCTCTACCTTTTCTCCCCTACAGCCTCTCCTCCCAGCACCCATCCGGCCAGAACTATGTTTCCTGAGAAGGTAAGGCTCCTGAGGGTCCCGGAGCCGCCTTTGCCCACCCGCCGACCTCACCACGTGAAGGCCTGGGTCCAGCCCCTGCTCACCCCAGCTGTCTCCTCTCCCTCTCTGCTGGTGGTGGGCTAATAAAGCTGACTTTCCGGTTGATGCATCAATCCTGTGTGGTCTCCGTTCCTGAGCTGATGGGAGGGGAATTGGAGGTGCCTCCCAGGAATCTTTTGGGACCTCACAGCCTGAGGGATGCAGGAAAAAGCCAAGCTCAGAAGAGCTTGTAGGGTCTTCCTTGAAGACCTGCATGCTGTCGGGGGAGTGGGAGTTGGGACATAGGATGGGAGGGAGCTTGCTCGTGTTGGCAGATGCTGTGTGAGGCATTTTACAGCAGCTCTTTCCTCCGACTCACCTGGCGACTCTGTGAGGGGGCTGTGTTCAGGCTCATCTTGGTGCTTAATGTCACACAGACACGAAGTGGCACAACGGTGGCTCAGGTCTGTCCAGCTGCAAAGTCCATGCCTTTCTTTTATACGGCTCTATCTCTTTAGGTATTTTAACCCAAGACTCCCAAGCTTGAGCTACTCACTCTACCCCTTGGAGCCTCACCTTTGCACACGATGATTTTAGTGTTGGATGGGTGGAGGGAGAGCCTGCTGCCCTTGGGGGTGGTGTCCACGGTTAGGACTGAATCTTTCTTTTTCCAACCTGCTCCCCCTCATCACTCCCGTCAACTCCCTCCTCTTCCTCGTTCCCCTCAGCCAGTGAATCGTGTGCCAGAGAGTCCCCTAGAAATACCTGTCACCCCTGCTTCCTCATCATCCCCACAACCACCGCCGCCATCAGACTTGGTTCTTCACTCCCTAGAACTGTGCCCAACCTACTAACTGGAGTCCCTTGCTGTCCATCTGCCCCGCCCTCACTTCTGCCTAATGCCCTTTCTAACGAGAATGTGGTTCAGATCAAGAATAAGGAGGCCGTCAGGACCCCTTCGTTCAACCACCTGTGTTGTTCCCTCTCTCCTGGGATGCTTGGCCTTCCCGTCTCAACCCACGGTGGTGCCTCTCCCCACCCCCTGCCCTGCACCGCATGAGTCCACCCTACTTGGCTATTGAGGTGGACCGCACTTCTCACTTGCTGTGGATGCCTTCCATATTTTAAAATTTTGGTTAAAAAATCAAAGTTATGGGAATTCCCTGGCAGTCCAGTGGTTAGGACTCGGCACTTTCACTGCCAGGACCCGGGTTCAATCCCTGGTTGGGGAACTAAGGTCCCATAAGCCATGCAGCGTGGCCAACATAACAAAACAAAACAAAAAAATCAAAGTTATGTCTGTAGAACATAATTAGATTTTTATGAAAAAGAGCCATTCCCAGGCTGACATCCCCAGGTGTCACACACCTCCATACCTACCTCCCGCTTTCAAGTCTTAGTTCTTACTTTTATCATTTGTCTCCTTCTTTCTTTTTCCTTTTTTTTGAATTTTATTTTATTTTTTTATACAGCAGGTTCTTGGTAGTTATCCATTTTATACATATTAGTGTATGTACGTCAATCCCAATCTCCCAATTCATTATCCCTCACCCCCACTGCTTTCCCCCCTTGGTGTCCATACATTTGTTCTTTACATCTGTGTCTCAATTTCTGCCCTGCAAACCAGTTCATCTGTACCATTTTTCTGGGTTCCACATACATGCGTTAATATACGATATTTGTTTTTCTCTTTCTGACTTACTTCACTCTGTATGACAGTCTCTAGATTCATCCACGTCTCTACAAATGACCCAATTTCGTTCCTTTTTATGGCTGAGTAATATCCCATTGTATATATGTACCACAGCTTCTTTATCCATTTGCCTGTCAATGGGCATTTAGGTTGCTTCCATGAGCTGGCTATTGTAAATAGTGCTGCAATGAGCATTGGGGTGCATGTGTCTTTTTGAATTATGGTTTTCTCTGGGTATATGCCCAGTAGTGGGATTGCTGGGTCATATGGTAGTTCTATTTTTAGTTTCTTAAGGAACCTCCATACTGTTCTCCATAGTGGCTGTATCAACTTACATTCCCACCAACAGTGCAAGAGGATTCCCTTTTCTCCACACCCTCTCCAGCATTTGTTGTTTGTAGATTTTCTGACGATGCCCATTCTAACTGGTGCGAGGGGATACCTCATTGTAGTTTTGATTTGCATTTCTCTAGTAATTAGTGATGTTGAGCAGCTTTTCATGTGCTTCTTGGCCATCTGTATGTCTTCTTTGGAGAAATGTCTGTTTAGGTCTTCTGCCCATTTTTGGATTGGGTTGTTTGTTTTTTTAATATGGAGCTGCATGAGCTGTTTATATATTTTGGAGATTAATCCTTTGTCCGTTGATCCACTTGCAAATATTTTCTCCCATCCTGAGGGTTGTCTTTTCATCTTGTTTATAGTTTCCTTTGTTGTGCAAAAGCTTTTAAGTTTCATTAGGTCCTATTTGTTTATTTTTGTTTTTATTTCCATTACTCTAGCAGGTGGATCAAAAAAGATCTTGCTGTGATTTATGTCAAAGAGTGTTCTTCCTATGTTTTCCTCTAAGAGTTTTATAGTGTCCAGTCTTACATTTAGGTCTCTAATCCATTTTGAGTTTATTTTTGTGTATGGTGTTAGGGAGTGTTCTAATTTCATTCTTTTACATATAGCTGTCCAGTTTTCCCAGCACCACTTATTGAAGAGACTGTCTTTTCTCCATTGTATATCTTTGCCTCCTTTGTCATAGATTAGTTGACCATAGGTGTGTGGGTTTATCTCTGGGCTTTCTATCCTGTTCCATTGATCTATATTTCTGTTTTTGTGCCAGTACCATATTTTCTTGATTACTGTAGCTTTGTAGTATAGTCTGAAGTCAGGGAGTCTGATTCCTTCAGCTCTGTTTTTTTCCCTAAACACTGTTTTGACTACTCGGGGTCTTTTGTGTCTCCATACAAATTTTAAGATTTTTTGTTCTAGTTCTGTGAAACATGCCATTGGTAATTTGATAGGGATTGCATGGAATCTGTACATTGCTTTGGGTAGTAGAGTCATTTTCACAATATTGATTCTTCCAATCCAAGAACATGGTATATCTCTCTATCTGTTGGTATCATCTTTAATTTCTTTCATCAGTGTCTTATAGTTTTCTGCCGACAGGTCTTTTGTCTCCCTAAGAAGTTTTATTCCTAGGTATTTTATTCTTTTTGTTGCAGTGGTAAATGGGAGTGTTTCCTTAATTTCTCTTTCAGATTTTTCATCATTAGTGTATAGGAATGCAAGAGATTTCTGTGCATTAATTTTGTATCCTGCAACTTTACCAAATTCATTGATTAGCTCTAGTAGTTTTCTGGTGGCATCTTTAGGATTCTCTATGTATAGTATCATGTCATCTGCAAACAGTGACAGCTTTACTTCTTCTTTTCCAATTTGTATTCCTTTTATTTCTTTTCATTGAGAATAATGTTTGCTGTGGGTTTGTCCTGTATGGCCTTTATTATGTTGAGGTAGGTTCCCTCTATGCCCACTCTCTGGAGAGTTTTTATCATAAATGTGTGTTGAATTTTGTCAAAAGCTTTTTCTGCATCTCTTGAGATGATCATATGGTTTTTTTTCTTCAGTTTGTTAATATGGTGTATCACATTGATTGATTTGCATATATTGAAGAATCCTTTCATTCCTGGGATAAATCCCACTTGATCATTTTATATGATCCTTTTAATGTGTTGTTGGATTCTGTTTGCTAGTATTTTGTTGAGGATTTTTGCATCTATATTCATCAGTGGTATTGGTCTGTAATTTTCTTTTTTCGTAGTACATTTGTCTGGTTTTGGTATCAGGGTGATGGTGGCCTCATAGAATGAGTTTGGGAGAGTTCCTTCCTCTGCAATTTTTTGGAAGAGTTTGAGAAGGATGGGTGTTAGCTATTCTCTAAATGTTTGATAGAATTCACCTGTTTCTCTTAGCTTTTGCTTGTCTGTAAAGCTTTTGATTTCTCCATCAAATCTGAATGATATCCTTGCCAGGTAGAGTAATCTTGGTTGTAATTTCTTCCCTTTCATCACTTTAAATATGTCATGCCACCCCCTTCTGGCTCGTAGAGTTTCTGCTGAGAAATCAGCTGTTAACCTTATGGGAGTTCCCTTGTATGTTATTTGTCATTTTTCCCTTTTTGCTTTCAATAATTTTTCTTTGTCTTTAATTTTTGTCAGTTTGATTACTATGTGTCTTGGCATGTTTCTCCTTGGGTTTATCCTGCCTGGGACTCTCTGTGCTTCCTGGGCTTGGGTGGCTATTTCCTTTCCCATGTTAGGGAAGTTTTCGACTATAATCTCTTCAAATATTTTCTTGGGTCCTTTCTCTCTCTCTTCTCCCTCTGGAACCCCTTTAATGCAAATGTTGGTGCATTTAATGTTGTCCCAGAGGTCTCTTAGGCTGTCTTCATTTCTTTTCATTCTTTTTTCTTTATTCTGTTCCGCAGCAGTGAATTCCACCATTCTGTCTTCCAGGTCACTTATCCGTTCTTCTGCCTCAGTTATTCTGCTATTGATTATTTCTAGTGTAGTTTTCATTTCAGTTATTGTATTGTTCATCTCTGTTTGTTTTTTCTTTACTTCTTCTAGGTCTTTGTTAAACATTTCTTGCATCTTCCCGATCTTTGCCTCCATTCTTTTCCCGAGGTCCTGGATCATCTTCACTATCATTATTCGGAAATCTTTTTCTGGAAGGTTGCCGATCTCCACTTCATTTAGTTGTTTTTCTGGGGTTTCATCTTGTTCCTTCATCTGGTACATAGCCCTCTGCCTTTTCATCTTGTCTGTCTTTCTGTGAATGTGGTTTTCGTTTCATAGGCTGCAGGATTGTAGTTCTTCTTGCTTCTGCTGTCTGCCCTCTGGTGGATGAGGCTCTCTAAGAGGTTTGTGCAAGTTTCCTGATGGGAGGGACTGGTGGTGGGTAGAGCTGGCTGTTGCTCTGGTGGGGCTTTAATCCGATTGTCTACTGATGGGT